CTATTTCGAAAAATCTTAAAAATTTTAAGATTTATCTTATTCTAAAAAATTATATATATATATAATATAAAAAATATAAAATATAAATATAAAAATTATATATATATATAAAATACATATAAAATAATTTTTAATAGAATCTCTTTAAATGTATGAAATAAAATTTTTTCATGTTTTGTATACAATTTCAATTAGAAATATTTTTTATAAAATATAATAAAATATGATAAAATTGTAAAATATATGATGTGATAAAAGTATTAAAATTTGAATATTTTATAATTTAAAACTTTGGTTTTAAATTTATCTCGTATTATGTATTACGTATTATGTATTATATTTTAAAAAATGAACAAATACTGAAATTTTAATTTTAGTATTTTACTCTAAAATTATGTACAAATCAATAAAAAAATATACCAGAAAAAAATATAATATATTATGGTCTATATACTTACAATATATTATGTAAAATAAAATTATTATTAATTTCGATAAGACAACTTATTATTTGAACTCATGACAGATATATGAAAATTTCTGTAAATTGTAATGTTGACTGTATATACTATACATATGATATGATCGAAAGAAAAAAATGATATATTCTTTTTTCCTTTTTAAAAAAATGTCTTTTTTTCTGTATTTCAATATTTTTAAATATTCTTTTTTGCTTTGATTTTTTTATTATCTTAACAAAAACTTTATTTTAAAGTTTAAATAAATTTTTTTTGAGTCAAAATTATTTTTTTGTTAATAATATGATATGAAAAATATAAAGAAAATAAATATTTCCTTATTACAAAACATTATTTGTATATATATTCAATAATAATATATATAATTCAAATATTCATTCCCAAAAAAATTTCTTAGATTGTGTGTAAATATATGTATGTATAAATTTATTACCGAATATTTTTTGTTTTTTAATATTTTTTTTTATTTTTACAATTCAATTTCTCTCTAAATAAAATTAACAGTTCATACAATTCTACTTCTTCAATTGAAAAAATAAACATAATAATTTTATAGTAAATTTTATAATATATTTTTTATAGTAAAATTTTTATACATAGATGAATATAATATATTCATATAATAATTGAATATTTCGAAATCTTTAAATCTTTATATAATTTAATTTCTTCACGTTTTTTATTTTATTTTATATTGTAATTTGATGCCATTTTATTGTTAATATATTTATTTTAAGTTCAAATATGAACAATAAATAGTTCCTTACCTGAAGTAAAACAAAGACGATCATGAATATTAGAGGGAAATAATGGATTCGGTAAATCACGAAGAAATCTTCTAAGAACTGTGGCAACATCATGTTCAGTATATGCACTTCTCGTAATTTGTGTTGCCCATGCATCGCGACGAAAAGCTTTCAATAATTTAACTACAGCACTGTTGGATCCATTTTGACGATAAATGCCCTTTGACATAATACCTTTAATATTATATTATATTATTATTTTCATTTAATCCAATTTAATTATTTATAAATAAAAATATAATTTTATTAATTTAAATATATAAATTTTAGATAAAAGGATTTAACTATATATTAAATATATAAAATATAAAGAACAAACAATAATAGAAGAAGAAATGTTTTATTATATTTTCTAAAGAAAAAAAATCTTTTTTTAAATAATAAAACTAATAAAAATTTTTAATCTTTTAAATATAATTTACTTTTATATTTAATATTATAAAAACTTTTCTTACTATTAGTATAAAAAATTATTTACTTTGAATGTATCGTTATAAGTTTAATATATTAATGTAGATATTATAAATTTAAAAAATTAATCTCGTATAATAATCTTTTATGATATTATAAATGATATATGTACCATGAGCATAAATAAAGTTGATGCACTTGTCAAGAATCACAGGTATATTGTCCTGTGTGAGTTGTTGTTGCTCTAAAGCAGGACCACAAGTAATGGCTGCTTGATAGAGTGCGTGTCTCCATGCAGATCCTTCATGGGTTCCTGGTGCAGCTATATGTAGTGCACCGGTACCTCCTGCGTCGACAACTACTACCGGAACTAATCCAGCACTGGAAATTGGTCCTTCTTGTTCTCGTAAAACTATAATAGAAATTATTTCGATTACAAAATTATATAATCAAAATTATTATTAGTGTGATTCATAAGCGAAATAATTAATTTTAAATATTCATTGATCACAATTATCTTAAAAAATATCAGATTTACTTATAAAATAGACATATGAAAATAAAAGATAAAAAATTTTTTTTATACTTTAAATAATAGATTTTTTATAATTATTTTTTTTATAATTTATATATTTTTTTTCTTTATATTAATAGAAAGTAGCAGTCTTTGGTATCTATTATGCTATCTTTTGAGTTCTACATATATTTTTTTCAAATATAAATTTATGTCTATTTCTAGATATTTATATTCCTTTTGTATCTTCAAAATTCAAAAATAAATGTAATAATATATATTTATATACTATATTATAGTTTCTTGCAGATCTTGCTCTTGGTAATTGTGGAATCGAAAGTATAGATAATATGAAATAATTATTATAAATATTTATAATTATGCGATACAAACTTATAATTTGGAAACATATGGAGGTTTCAAGCCGAAGAAACTATTATTTACTAATAATCGTAAATTAATTATAATAAATTTCGTTATTGTTAAATAAATTTTACTAATTATTTAAAAGTATAGTTTTCTCATTGATTTTAATGAATTTAAAAATAATTAAATTACTATCAAGAATATAATTTTCAACAAATTTTTCTTATATAAATTTATAATTATATTACAATAATTCATCTTATAATTTGTTTTGAGACATTCATAAGAAACTTTTAGTAAATTTAGATTTATAATTAGTGTATATATTCTATTTTATATTCTATTTTTTTTTTAAATAAATATATTATTGTTTGTATTTGAATATCTAATTCTTTTGAATGTTTTATCAGTAATTCATAAATATATATATGTATTTCACTATATATATAATAATAAATATATATATAATGAAATTAATAAGATCGTTAAAGAATTAAAAAATTTAATTATAATGAAATTATATGTATTTCTAAATATGTAATAATCACGATAAGTTAGTAAGTTTTTAATCAAACAAAAGATTATTTAAATGTTTTTAAATAATTATCAATTATTAAATTTTTATTTGTTGATTATTTGTTTAAACAAATAGGTTAACGATAATTTAAATTATTTATATTATCATTAAAGTAATTCTTATATTATTATTATATATAAAAGATATATATATAAAAGATAAAAATGTAAATCTAACGATTTAAATTATAAATATTATAATTATGTAGATCAAGTAGATCAAATAAAGTTAAAATAAAATAAATTTATTATTTATTCTTTTTATAAAGTAAATTATATCATTTGCTATAACAAATAAAGTAATAAATTAACTTTTATAAATTTGTTTTTTTTTGACTTTACTAATTTGATTTTTACTCATTTTTAATAAAAGGACTTAACGAATAATTTAACAAATCCATCATTGTTCTGATTATAATCTTTATATTATATAATATATGATAATTTAAATATATAACTTAAATATATAATTTAATAACTTTAATATGTAATGTATTTAAATATTTTCGCAAAATATATTTCTTCTATTTATTTTATAATATTAAAACAATAAATAAACAAATTTTTTATTCTTTTATACTTCTAATATAAATATAAATTTTATATATAATAAGAGAATAAGAGTATATAGCAATACAATATTACATTAAGGTATATAAATATTAAAAATAAAAAATTTATTAATTTATTATGTACTAAAAATAAAAAATCTTTTAATTCATTTTGTATTATTATCTGATCATTATAAAATAGATAAAAAAAAATTGAATTTAAATACAAATAGAAATATTTAAATACATTACAAATTTAAATTATTAAATAATGAGATTTTTCCAAAATATAAATTATAATTGTATTATAAAATTAATTAAAATTAATAACAACACTAAAAAGAAATGATAAAAATTTTTTTTTATTAATCATCCTATATCTTATTCTTCTGTTAAATAAACTTTTAACATTTTAAAGCATTTGAAAGATGAATGAATTTAAAAAATAAACCTTATCGATTTCAATAATCTTGTTAAAATTAAAAACATTATTTTAAATAATTTTTTTTTCAAGTATTCATATAATAGGCGAATCCAGCAAATAAAAAAATCATATAAATATTTATTAAAGATAGTTTAATATGTCAACTTTTATTAATATAAGTAAAGAAAAAAAAATTGTTAATTTTTATAAACAATTTTTTAATTATGTAGATTTTTAATTTATTTAGATTTTTAAATAGATTGATATAGTTTTAGAAAATCGGTTTTAGAAATCAAAACGAACACAAAAATTTTTACAAAAAAAATATCGATTGATGTATTCAATTATTTATTAAATAATTTAAATTTATATTAGATAAGTAAAACAGAAGAAGAATGAATATGATCAAGATAAAATCATGTCATTATATTTAACTTAAATTATTAGTTTATTAAATATATTAACTTGATAATTAAATCTCAACTAATATTTTTATAAAATTTTATATTTTTTTTTATTTTTACAATCAATTCTATATTTTAATTTTATAAATATACTGATAAATATCTTTTGACAAAATATAATTTTTATTCTAACAGTTAATGTCTAATTTTTTTAATAGTTTTTATTAAAAATTAATTTTTAAAATTTTTAGACAAAATTTTTACAAAATATTTTTCTTATTAGATATAGATAATAAAAAGATAATAAATAAAAAAAATCAATTTTTTAAATTTTATAAAGATTGTATTCATTTAAATATTGTTATAATAAAATATAAAATAAAATTTTATATTGAAAATAAAAGAAAAATTGAAAAAAGATATTGTTGACATAGAAATCTTAAATTTTTTCCATTGATGATGAAAATAAAATTATGATTAAAATAAAACTATATTTTTGAAGTTTATTTAAAACAATAATTGGCAAAGATATGCAAATGCTTTTTACAAAAATCAAATCAGAATTTAAATTAAAATAAACGGGTCTGTAAATTTTGTCTATATGCATCCATGATAGTATAGTATATTTAAATTACAAAATTAAAAATGGATCTATAAGTTTTAATTTAGTTTAATTTTTTTAAAACAAAAATTATTTTAAAAAATTTTTTTGATATTATATTATTAAGTTTTATCTGCATAAGCATCCATAATAGTATATATATCAATATGAACAAATGCACAATTAAAAAAAAGATTAAGTCTAAATCTGGCTTTAGATAAGTCTATGTATAAAATGTCTTTTGTTATGAGTAAATTTTTCTATTCTAATTTAAACAATAGCATTTTAATTTAACTTAATACAAAATCTAAAATGTGGTTTAAAAAAAAATCTAAAATGAAATCTTTTCCTTTTCATGAAATAATTTTGATTAAACTAGATTAAAATGTTACTAATAATGTCAAAACAAAACAATTTATTTATTTATTTAATTGTATTGAGGATTTTATCTTTTGTTTATATTTTGTACTTTATAAATAATGTAGAAGATAAATATATTGACACATGTAATCACAAATGTACATGTATAGATAGAATTTAATAATATAATATCAATAGACTTTTGTAAATAATTTGAAAAGAAAAATCAACCTGAAAACTTATATAAAGAAAAATTATTTAAAATGATATCCTTAAAAATGTAATTCTTGATATAAATTAGCAAAAAAGTAATCCATATTATTGAATAAAAAAAATAATAAATTAGATTAGAAATATTTTAGACAATTTTAGACAAGCCTATGAATTTAATAAAAAATTTTTTTATTTTTTGGTATTTATACACAATATTTTTAATTAAAAATATAATTAATAAATTAATAAAATTAATAAAAAAAAAAAGTATTCAAGATTTAAGGATTCAGCATCAAAAAGAGCAAAAAATATCCGATTAATATAAATTCTAACGACATCATAAAATCATAGCTATATAATCAATTCTTTTGACATAAAATCGATTTTTATTATTGATGAACTTTCTAATGAACTAAATATAAATAACTAAATATAAATATAAAGAGAGATTGATTCAAAGTTTTTAATCAATTAATTAATATTAACAGAGATTACTTCATAGACGCAAACAAACTAAAAACTAAAACTATTAACAAAGCTGTACAAAAAATGTATATTTGCTATTATCATATTTGAATAATAAAAAAACATGAATGCTTGACTTGATATTTTCTATATACTTTCCACATTCAATAGTAAATGAATACCGAAAATTTGCACGTTTATATGTAATATAAATATTATAATACTATAGTTATTATATTTGATGAATACTTTAAATTCTTGGACATTCTTTTTTGTATACTATATTATATTTTAATATAATGCAAAATTTTTGTTTTATTTATATTTACTTTAGATGTAAAACATAGAAAAATCTAAAGCATAGAAATTAAATATTTTTGTAACTGATACATTTTTGTAAATGTTAAATTTATAATATATTTTATAATATATTAAATTTAAATCTTTAATCAAAATTTATAAATTCATCGCGGCATAAAAATAAATTTCATAATGAATTATTCATAATGATATCAAACAGTTCGATACAAAAATGAATTAATTTACAATAAAAATTTGAATTAAGTAATAAAATTATATTGTAAATGAATTACAATTTCACTAAGAAACATTTTAAATAATTAGAATAATTTTTGAATAATTAGAAAAAAAAATTAGAAAAAATTTTAGAAATTAAAAATTATGGTTGCACTGATAACAATATAATTTTGAAATAAAGAATGCTATTGATATACATATATTTTTTTTTGACAGTATATTTTTCTATTAAATATTGAATTAATTTAAAATTTCGTTTTACGTAATACCTCAATTTTGATAAAAAAAAAAAAAGATGCTTACCGATACATCTAGCTTTCCGAAGATCAAGTTCTCCAAAAGTTATGGCCATAAAGGAATCCAAAGATTTTGTATAAATTAATGTTCGTTGATATAAAAGAACCCAAGCTGCAAACCATGTACTCGTTACACCTTCCTGAAATATATAACAATTAATATTAATTAATAGATAATTTTAAAATTAATTTTAAAGTTTATTTAGTAATAATTTAATACGTATTATTTAAAAAAAATGATAAAAGTATTTGTTTGTGCTATAATATAAATCTATAATACAGCAAATATAAGCAAAAATTATTATTATTTATATAAATAAAAATTTTTTTATTAAATATAGTTTTAAATATATTTTTATAATATTTTTATATAATATTGCCAATACTCATTATATTCCATGTATGTATGTATGTATATTTCATCCATATATATTTGATCATTTTCTTCAAAAATAGTTATAATTAATATGAATTGAATAAAAATTTTATGTATATTCTGAATATAAACATGAGTATTAGGCATTAATAAACATTTAAATTTAAAAAAGATAAAATAAAGTTTTAAGAATTCATTTATACTATGCTTATACTATACTATGCTCATTTTTTTTTTACCTTTAAATAGGCCCATCCTGCTCTTGTCAATTCGGTCGTATATTTTGTAGGAAAAATTGTAGTAATGGTTTCTAATATTCTTTGAGCCCAAATCCTTCGTTCTGCGATTCCTTTTGCATAGAATACATGGATACTCGGTCTTCCTTCACCACTAATTGCTATGCAATATACGCTTTCTCCATCAATTATCCTGAACATTTTGAATTATTTTTGTTATTCTCTTATTAATTTAATATTATATGAAAATTATTTTTTTTCATATTTATTTTCTATTCTTTAAATAATAAAACTTTTATTCAGAAAGAAAATTTATCAAAAATTTTATAAAAAATATAATGTAATCAATTAATTAAATAATAATAAAAAATATAATATAAACAATTAAAAATATTCTTCAAGATTAGATATTAAAATAAAATAAATATATTATAAATATATATTGTATAATAATGAAGAAAGAAAATATGAAGGTTTTTAATATAATCGCAATTTCAATATAATAAATGATTTTAAGCAAAAAAAAAAAAAAAAAAGAAAAAAAAACAATATAAAAAAGTATATATATATTTATTTTTTTTTAATCATTTTGAGTTTGCGTTTGAACTTGCTTATTCATTTGTCTTTCGTTCATTATCTAAGGATGTCTTTTATTCGATAAAAAACTGGACTCACTTAAAATCCTGAAGAAGATGAATGCTGTACACTGTATTGAGATCAATAACTTCTTTTAGTGTAGACATGCTTTTATCAGTATAAAATGAAAGTTTTTGATCAGCCAAGACTGCTGCTCTCAGCACTAGATCCTTCGCTCTTTCTATTCCTATACCAGTTCTATAAACGATTCCTCGATGTGTCATGAGATTTTGTAGTTCGTTCATTTTTGGTCTTTCTAATTTCATTGATTTCGTGATTGATATTGTACTATTCTGATCACGATTTCTGGATAATAACTTACTGCTACTTTTCACAAAACTCATCACATTTGGTCTGATTCCGTGCCCAGTGGAATCATGTCTCAATTTTTTCAATTTCTGAATTACGCTCACGCATTTATGTTCTTCTGTGATCTTATTAACTAAAGAACTTGAAGATTCGTTGGTACTAGTCGTATACATAACTATAACAAAATAAGATATATTTATTTTTCAATAAGTTATACCAAATATATTAATTATTAATATATTTTTATAGTTTTGGTATTAATAATGTAACTTTATAAATTAATTAAGTAGATGGTATTAATAATGTAACTTTATAAATTCTTTTAATTACATTATTTTTTATTTTATATGAAAGTTATTAAACTTCTGAATTTGATATTTAGTCAGTTGTTATTGATATATTTGTTGATAATAATACATAAAAATAGAATATGACAAATGCCATTTTTAATATTTTTTTTTAATCAAAAGAAAATAATTACGCAAGCTTCATTAATAATAATTACTAATTTATTAATAAAATATACTTTCATATTTATCTATTTATTATTATCTATTTATTATCTGTTTATCTATTTAATTTGTGTTAAAATGTGTCAGATTTAGGTAGTAGTTGTTTAAATGATTTAAAATTGAAGATTTTAATTCAAAAATAAAAATGAACAGCATGACCAAAAAAGTTTGAGAAATTGCAGAAAATATTGAATGAAAATCCAATATGAACAATAACAAAAGAATTATTTAGTTTATTAAATGATAGTTTAATTGTTTCTAAGTGTTTGAAATCTAAATCAAGAAGATGAAAAAAAGAACGATGGATTTCGCATAAATTGTGAAGAATTGATAAACTAAAATCAAATTTGTTTTTTACTTTTTTACTATTACTAAAGCATAAAAAGAAGCAACTCTTATATTATCTTATTATAAATAATAAGAAGAGATGAAAATTAGCTATATTATAATAATCGTAAAATTGAGAATAGATTCTAAACAATCTATATTTCCAATATGGAAATTCATAACATTCCAATAACATTCATAAAAAAGAAAAAAAAATTATGTTTTGTATTTTACGAAATTATGAAAGTGTTATTTAATATGAGCTGTAAAAAATCAATTAAATTGTTTCAGCTAAAGATTAATTAATAAAAATAATTAAGCAAAAATTGCAAGAAACATCAATGGTAAAATAATTGTAAATAGCGAATAAAAGATGAAAAATTATCTTTTTTCATGATAATGTTTAGCTACTTAGAACTATATTGCAAAGAATGTAAAAAATTATTGGAATTTAAATAATTTGCTACTATTATAATTCCATTTTTTCACCAGACATAACCTCATGATTTTCATTTATTTAGATCGATGCAATACGTATTTGAAGAAAAACAATTTCGAAACAATATCAAGAAACAGATTGAATCAAAATCCAAATTTTTTTATCGTGGAATGCATTTGTTATTCGGAAAATAAAAAGTTGCATCAAATGGAGAAATCAATATAGAAAATATTTTAACTAAAATATATTATTTTATTTTTACAATAAATGTATTTTTTTGATCTCAAATAACATTCAAAATTAAGAATAACATTTAAAATAAAAAAATTAATTTTTATATTATGTGTTTTTTATACCTTTAAATGATATTACTAATATATATTTATAATATATATTTTTAACATTTATATATTATACATTATATTTATATATTAATATATAATATTATTAATACAATATTTATTCATTTATTATGGTAAATAAAATAATTTCATAAAAAATTAAATAAATATTTGTTTACACAGTTTCTGCATATTAAAATAATATATAAATAAATAAAATTTTATATATTATATGAATATATTATTTATTTAATTTTGATAATAAATAACTTTATAACAATTATTGTGATCCAATATATTATGTTGTGCTTTATGTTGTGCTTTATTAAAATTAAATTATTTTTAAATCACTTATTATTTATTTATATAATAATTTATCAATTAAATATTTTTAAATTTTTATTTTTATAACAATTTTTATATTTCAAAAAATGTTTTTTATATGTTATCGAATTGAGAACATTAAACTATTAACATTAACTATTAATTTCAATTATTCTTAATTTTAACGATATAGTCTTTATTTACTTCTATATCATTAGAACTTAATATTAAATTAATATTTTTTGAATTTGATCTATTTTTCTTTATTTCTTTTTAAACATTAATTCAGAAAAGTTTTTATAAGTTTTAATTTTTTTTAATTTTATTTAAAGCTTGTAATCTATTGAAGCTATCTAAATTTTATAATAAAATAGCTACCTGAATCATTGTTAACTGTTGCACTTGTAGATACTGAGACAGATATAGTAGAAGGAAAAGATGTTTGACTTAAGCGATTTTTTGCTATTAACTTTCTAGGCGGGACAGCAGGTTGTTTTCGCGTTACCAGATGCGCTAATTTTGGTAATAAAGCTGGATTTTTTCCTGTAGTATTTTTATGCGATTGTAAAAGAATTTCCGTGACTTCATCGTATTCGTTTTTTGGCAAAGAATCGAATCTTCTTGGTGGTTCTGGTGGCACTGATGAAATATGCTCAGCATCCTTTTCGTTAATATCATTTTGTATTTCTTCATTATCAACTATTTCCTGAAAATCCAAAATATTTCCAGAACTATTTGGCGTATCATTGGTAGCCAATAAAGTTTCCAATAACATTAGATCATTATTTTCAAAGTTACTATATAGGTTTTCGTCAGAAGTTTTTGCAAATGGATCAAATTCAAACAATAAAGATTTACTGCTTTGTTGTCTGTTTTCTATATTATTGGACCTTATTTCTTTCTCTTGTATTTTTTGTGGTGATAAATTTTCATACAATGAATTTTGAATGGATGCTTGACTTTCATTGGACGCGTTGGATGTTCGATCAAAACGCACTTCTTTGTCCAAAATGTCCTCTTCTGTACTAGATATCCTGTCCAGTTCTTCGATTCCGTCAGATTTTCCTATTGGTGCAGTATCGTAAAAAGTCCAAGAATCGGACCTTGATAATCTTTTAACATTATCCAATTTATCTTGTGGTAGAGTTATGTTAATGTCGGAAAGATTCAAACTTTGATCAGAATCACTAGCCTGATAACAAAAATTTAATTAAAATTACTATTCATGCTAAATCTAAAATATAGAATATTAAAAATAATGTTAATAGAAAGCGAATATACTTTTTCATATTTCAAAAATATTTCATATTTCAAAAAAATATTATTAGGTAAATCAGATCAAGATTAGGTATTGGATCAAGATCAGAAAATTCGTATATAATAAGTATGATGCTTTTTCTTAATGTTACAATAAAATTTTTTACTTTTTAATAGTATTTTTATTTTTTTACTTTTAGTTTACTTTTTTAATATAATTTTTACTTTTATATTTAGAATAATTTTTTGTATTTTTTTAATATAATTAAATATGTAAAATCATAAAATTATTTAAATTATGTAGATCCATAAGATTATATTAAAAATTATATTAAAAATTTATATTATTCGATTATTTCAATTATATTAAATCTACATTATCTATTATTTATTATTATATTATTATTATTATCATATTAAAGATTTATATTAGATATATTAAATTAGATTTTATTAGATTATTAAAAAATATGAAAAATTATTCTGAATCTGAAAATAAAAAATCGTATAAAAAATGAAGTAAAAAAATAAAAATAATATTAACAAATATGAAATTTGATTGTAAAATTAAGAAAAAACATTACACTTATGAATTTTTGATCTTCAATCCATATTGATTATAGTTACGAATAACCGAAATAACAAATACTATTTAATGGAATT